ATAATATAAATAAATGTATTTAAAATATCCATGTTTTACCTACCACATTGCATTTTATCAATCCATGCTAGTTATATAATTATGTTTTTTTCCAACAACAAAACGAACTAATAAAATGTATTTCTTCCCCGATGTGTTTAAAGGATGTAATTTTTTGTGTGATCAATCAATGAAAGTAATTGGTACTAAAGGAATTATATGAAGTAATGTGTACACTTTTTCAAACACAATTGACTTTTTTGTAAATGGTGATACGTTTTCTTTGATTATGTTCAATCCACATAACGTTTCTTAAAATGATACGTTTGCTAAATAAAACTTATTTTACAAAACCATTAACATTATTTTTTATCACTTATTTATACAAGAAACATTTTAAGAATATTACACTATGGCGATCAAGCCGAACTTTTTTTGTGTTAAAAAAGTATATATCATATTATAGTATATATATCATAAATATCATATATAATGTTTTACTTAATTTTGATAAAATAAAAACTAGAATAGTGATCCGAATAGAGATTACCTATATCATCAAAGTAAATCGTTGTCTTTTAAAAGAGAATTCCTAGTTTAGCTTGAACAATAATCGATTAAAATAATCAATTTTTAAAAAGTTTTCGGACGTTGAGGATTTTATGACTCGTCCAAATCAAATCCTATACAATAAACGTAACACGCAATTAAAAGTGTTATTTAATGGAAAATGGCAATCGCAAAAGTAACGCCAACGGCAACGGTAACGATAACAGCAACTGTAACGGTAACAGTAACGGGGATGGATATGATGAAGATGAAGGTGATGATTGTGATAAATATTATTGGCGATAGTAATGGTAATGATAGTAGCAATGATAATAGTAATAGTAATGGCATTGGTAATGTAAAGGGTAATGATAATAATGGTAATAATAATGGTAAAGGAAAAGGTAACGGTTATGGTAACGGTAATGGTAACGGTTATGATGATGCTGATGATGATGCTGATGGGGATGCGATGGTGTTGGTTATGACGTTGGTGACGGTGATGGTGACGATATTGGTGATGTAAATGGCAATGAAAGTAGTTATTTTGTTTATTCTCTATTTTTCTATTGTTTTTCAAACATTTATAATTATTTCTACTGACACATTTTAAATTTAATTGAATCTGCGGATCGTTAATCGACAGTCTTTTGTATTAATATTTTTACAAATAAAAAAAAATAACTTGATGGGCTACCTGAGATACGATTGATAATCTCCAAAATAAATCACCGCCTTAAATAAAAACAACGTATAAATGCTGATTAATCAAATAGGGGTCATCCATAAATGACGTCACACTCGTAGGGGGGAGGGGGGGGTCCGTAATTTTGTGACGATGTGTGATGAGGGGGAGGGGGGGGGTCAGATGTTGCGACGTCACATTTTTGCATTATAAAAAAGCAATGTTAGAAAACGAATTTTAGACGTTATTTCGCGTTTTAGATAACTGTTTTAATAAATTGTAATAGTTTAGACAAGATTTTGGAAAAATATCAATGTTTTAAAAAAATTCAACTGCAATTTTGAGGGGGGTTGTAGGTTCAGGTGTGACGTCATTTTAGGGGGGGGGGGGTCTGGCTTTTTGTGACGAAGTGTGACGGAGGGGAGGAGGTAAAAATCGTCAAAAAAAGCGTGACGTCATTTATGGATGACCCCATATCTTTTAAATTAAGTTAGTTTTAATTTTAAAAATTATTACGACAAATGAAGTATAGGTCTACTGAATGTCACTTATACGTTTCATACAGAATATTTGTTTCTCCAATAGTTCTATATAGTAGTTGATAATACAAATGTCCAGGACAACAGACATTCTACGATTTATACCTCCATTAATCGAAAATACTTAGTTGAGAGATTGTGGGTGTGTGAGTGTGTGTTTGTCTATTTTTGAACACGATAACTTGATACCGTTATAGTAAGGGTGATGAAATTTCATATAAGTATTACATCAAATCTATAGTTCTGTATCAACATTTCAGCGATTTCTGATAACTGGAAGTTGAACTATTTTCTTTCGGCTTTCTGTGACTATATTACATAAATATTAGACGTGTTTGACAACTTTTTATGTATGACCACCTTGTGAGATCACATGACATATATGTCCACTGTGATTGACCAGATGACATATGTATAAGCACGATGTGACCACACGACATATGCATGACTATCGTCTAAGACCACATGAAAGACGTATGACGACCGAATTATAGCTATTCCATATTATGTAACAAAGTTATTCCTTGAGGCGAACGTGTATATATATAAATGATTTTTTTTACAACTCCTTTTAAATTAGTAGGCCTATTTGTCTACTTGTCATACACATAAACTCCAAGTCTACGTGAATAGCTCTATGCATGTATTACTATTGCATCTTTTGTTTGAGCACGTGATGTCATGTTATAATTTCAGCCAATAAGCATATTTCTTTAAAGTTATATGTTTTTACGGGGCAAGGTGTTTAGTAAGGCAGCTAAAATAAAATGCGTTTGTGTGGGGGAAATGAGATTCGTTAGCCGTGGACAACAACTCATCTAGCAGAAAAAACTCACACATTAATAATCTGATGTGTTTAAATTGTTCTTGGCTGGTTAAATGCTTACGAAGCTAATCCAGCAGGAAAGTCGTAGTCAATAGACCATATGGTGCAAAAGATGTTGGCACAAATTACTTCACTGTGTTGGAGGTCATCCCCACCAATGTAATAGTTATAAAAGAAGAAAAAAAAAAGAAATCATTTAATCAGGTGACCACGATACGTCATCTTGCGAACAAAGTTGACTAGGTAAATAAATGGTTAGAAATATCGTAGTATGTTGTCTTTACATTGGTAAAGATTTTTAATTATGAAAATTTAATAAGGGAGACAGCCATAGCATCCTTCCGTATAACTTGTATTTATTTGGTTGTTCCCCTTTGAAAAGGGAATATTTTTGATGTTGTCTTATAGCAGGGGTCTCCAAACTTTTCAGTCCGAGGGCCACATTAACTATCAAATTTCAGTTCGGGGCCAGTTTCTTCCAGGCATGTCTTTGATTTTTCTGGGCATAGTTCCTCAGCTATCACCAACAAATGATTTTTACTTGGACAAAAAGATCTCGGCGGGCCGGATGAGAGGACTTCGCGGGCCGCATCCGGCCCGCGGGCCGTAGTTTGGAGACCCCTGTCTTATAGCAATCAAAACGAAAAAAACATGTTTTTTAAAAATAAAAAACAATATGGGGTGGCTGGAAAATCGATCCGATAACTGTTTCCTTAAGCCACAAATGGATAAGACATTGATGAGAGAAGAAAGATGAAAATGGTTTAAACATAAAAAAGGGTAACGACTTTGGCCTCCTGCCCTCAGTTGTAATAATTTGGTTATTTCCCTTTTATTGTAATGTATTATGTCGAAACATTGCTAACCCGAAAGCTCCGAGTTCGAACCCTCGAGTAGATGAGGCTCGTCAGCTGGGGACAGCAACCCTTCTAGGAGAGAAAACTCCGAAATCAAACAGGAGTGGAACCTTTCAGGCGAAAGTATTGCCAACTCTGGTTTCCTTACGGAAGCTGCTGAGACACTGCTAATTCCAAAGGTTTGTTCAGATGATTGTAGCTTACCATACAAGTGACAGTGTCAATTATTTAAAAATGTTCTAGATTGTCGCTATATCAGATTTAAAAAATATTAGGAGAATCCAATAATAGTTGTCGTAGCCACGTTTGGCGTAATATTTAACAAGCAAAATCTATAAATTTTAAAATAATAATATCTTCGTTAGCAGACAACTTTGATTTTATAAACATAAACAAAACTATTTTGTGTACAGAATTTTTTTCAGGCATGTCTTCAGGCAAGTCTTGTGTGTCAATGTACATAGAGATTATTTATTTTAACCGTTGTCCACTCATTATCTAGACATAAAAATATATTAAATTGTGTGATAAATGTGTCTTCCTTTAGCTTTATAAAGAGGTTATTTAGAAAAAAATTAACGACTTTTAACTGATATCATTAAAAAATACAAATTAATGTTATTAGTTATAAGGCTATTTAATCTGTAAATGTATCCGTATAATACGATAATAGAAAACATGTCAACTATTTGTAAAAATTAAAACATTAAGTTTACTTAGGCAAACTAATGTGTATCTTCCTTTGATGGTTTTAAACATTTAGCAAGCAAATAATTACTTTAGTATTTTATCGATGGCGTGTATGTGTGTAAATGGAGATGGTGTGATTTTATTTTCTCATGTATAAAAAATGCATTCGTCTGTTTCGTAATCCTACACTCAAAATTAACTGATCAATCTGATACGATTTTTTTCATACGTTTTATTTAGCACAGAAGAAAATTGCTCTTAATATTTTGAGTCTTCAATCTCACTCCACCTATTTCTATCACTGCTACTTCTATTCCCCTTATTCACGTCAATTATCAATTCTTCTATATATGACGACTTTGGTGCGGCTGAATTTCTAGACTTATAGCTTGCATTAATTTTCTGGACCGACTAGTACAACTACAGAATTTCTCTTGACAGACTTGCTCCAGTAAACGCATTCTAGTTAGTCCGCGACTTGAATTCAAACTGGCCTTCACCTTTCTTACCATCTCTAGTCCTGTGACCCTGACCTTATCTTTGACTGGCTACCACTTATCACCATGGTTCTGGTTGTTCCGTTCCGACTGTCCCAGCTATGACCTAGTTATACTACATGTAACATGACATCACACAATTGTCAACCTATTTTTAGCATTGAAGGCAGCAGTTATTTGATTTTGGAGTTTTCTCACCTAGATGGGTTGTTGTCCTCATCTAACTGACGTCATATGTCCGAGGTTCCGCACACAGCTCTCCTTCTTTATCCCATCCGACCACTCCAAAAAATCAAAGCATTTTTATAAACTAAATGTTGCCTTTAAATAAGAAAAAAAAACGTAAAATCTGATTCATTTATTTTTTACCTTATTTTTTCTTATTTAAAAAGTATCTTATACTCTTTCTAACATGTAAATATACTCAACCCCAAAACATAATACTCTGTTTTAAATTTATCAAAATACCTTAATTCATTAACATGTTATACTATCAAGTCTATAACAATCTGATTATTATTAAATAAAATGTTACCAAAGTTGAATAAAATTAAATTCTAGCCTTACGTATAACGACGAACAAACAACATAACATGATTTTACTGATTTTAACCTGATATTGTCCGTCAAATAAAAAAAATTAGTTACACTTTTATTACTCCTTAAACAATGTTTTTTTCCTGTAGATATTATGATGTATGAAAATTAGACGTCAAGAAGGGAACAAGAAAAATGTGAACATTCCAAATCCTTCCAGCCAGTGGCTGAATATAAAATATCTCCAGTTTTCATCCGAACCTCAAATGTCTCTGAATCTTCTACTTTGCCCTTTGTACAAACAGCACCGAGTCGTGACGGCACTGCACCAGATTTGTAGTAAATTGTCGCCCCTATATCACGATCTCCTGTTTGTTTTATTGTAAGACTTGCTTTATACAGGCCATCAACAGGGGCGGTAAACACTCCAGTGTTTGGATCAAAATGGTTTCCTACGTTACGTTCTACAGTACTGAATGTAATAACTTTGTCATACATTTTCCCGTCCCAGCGACCTTGTGAAGCAATAAACACCGGTGTAGAAGGTTTCACTTGTTGATTGGCTGCAAGAAATAAAATACTAAAGGTATCTACACATTACCAAAATAAGGTATACTGTTATAAAATACAAGTTTGAGACAATTTTATTTTCCGCGTAAATTGCTAAGTAAAAAGTTACATTTGTATATTGAATGGAGGTAACGCACACAAGACACCAAATCATGTACATTATGGACCAATCATTTGTTTAGTATGTTGAGGTCAATAAAAGGGTAGGCTAAGCCCAAAATAGTGTATAACTTTTATTGTATAACTCTCATACTTTTGGTTAATATGACAATTTCTTTTAGGTTGGTTGTTTCCCTTTCTCAATTAACCAACCATGTCTCCTACAGTGTCGTACATCTCTGATATGGACCGATAGATAAAAATGTCTTACAATAAAAACAATGCGAAACTACATATAAAGATTAATATGACAATAACATAATTCTACATAAAACCAAAACAATAAGCAGAGCACTTAAACTATATAATTGATTTTAAAATACAAAGTCTACAGCTATAGAAAATTATCTTGAAAAATAAAATACTTAAACGAATAAAGATCTAAACGTATTTAAAAATATGTTTATTAATAATGAGAAACTATTCGCAGTGTATCAATATATTAATATGATCCATGCATGAGTCTTCAAACTTTTCAGTCCTAGGGCCAAATTAAATATTAAATAGTAGTTTGGGATGCCGACAACACACTCGAGGTACAAATAAAAAAGAATCAAAACATAGATGATGTTTTTGATTATTTATTTAATATTATATTATTCAGCCATATTTAATAACACATTTATATACTACACATGAACGTCTGTATTAGAGGGAATGGTGAAATTGTTTCATGGGTTTCAGAACAACCGACATTTCTGGCTTTAGATTCGATGTCCCTAAAATCAACATGAGATTATCATAGGATAATATTGTCCTCAAATTGTTCTTCACGTAACTAATTCTTGAAAATGTTTATTCACACTGGCAAAAACTTGTAAAAACTAGAAAACAAATTTTATTAGTAATTCAAGATTATATTGTATATTTGTTTTGAAAAGATATAACCCACCAATTGATTGAAGATCCTGTGATAACTTTAAAACTTCTTTTTCCAGAGTTTCAATCTAAAAACAGAACAACATTTACAGAAATACAGCATGTGTTACAGATTATGAGCATACATAAAGAAAACAAGTCATCAATTATTTTTTTAAATAGGCGTATTTCACTAAACACAGATACTTAATGTGACAGCACTGATATAAGGGAGACTAAAACTTTTACTTCAAATTTTAAATTTTTTACTAAACTTTTGGTAACTTCTTTAAACTAATGAAATACATAGATAAAGATACATTAAATGAGCACTTGTTTTTCAAGTGTATTATGAAAATTACATGATATTTAGCAAAAACATATGAGGTTCATTTACCTTTTTCATTTTCTCTTCTCTAGTCTCAGAGTTTTGATTATATGTTTCAATTATTTTATGAATTGGCATCAATCTTTGTTGTAGAAGTTTACAAATCACTACATGCTAAGTTGAAGAAATGTAAAAGTACATTGTTAGTACATATGTTTATAAATGGTTGATATAAATAAAACACAAAAAGACCACAGGATATTGGAGATTATGTGAATTAAAATACAAGTAAAGAGTGACTATGGTAGTGTTTAACCAACTTAATTGTAAATACCAAACAGACAGACCTAGACTTTGATGGACAGATTGTAGAGACATACATACAATAGTACAGAGATCAGATGTGGAAAACAAAATAAACAGATAATTTTATACTGGAGGAGGTGGTAAAGCAGACTTAAGCCATTATAGGCTTTAGAGCCACAGGGGTGTATGTTAAAACACAAACTTTAGTTTACTATTATAAATGTGTTATAACTCAAAAATATGTATCACCAATAAAAATACATCGCCTATATTTTCACCTAATAGAACTCTAACTGCATGCATTGTTCTAAATATTATTAAAAATATACCTTAGACAATAATGTATCAAATGTTTTTGTTGTATCTTTTTGTATAGCAGATATCAAATCTGAATGTCTTTTAATTTCTTGTGTTACATGATCTGTTTTATCTGTGTAAACTCTCATCTCTTTATATAGTGTGTGCAGGTTGTTTTCATATTCTTTCATATCTGCAGACAGTTTCTCCAGTGTTTTGTCTGTGTCTGATTCTTTTGTTTTTAATTTTTCAATTTGTTGAGTCATCTCTTCTATTTTGTTATTTTGTTCTATTAACTGTTTTCTTAAGTTTTTAAAATTCTGTTTTTGTTTTTTAGAACAGTTTTGAACTTTAATTCCCATATCACTTTGTTCTGTTACAAAGTTGTCTCTCCATTGTTTTATTTCTGATATGTCATCTTCAGTCTTTTGTTTGGTATCTTGAAGGGATGATAAAATTGTTTCAATATCCTTTAGTCTTCTTGATGTTTCTGTATCACCTTAAATAGTAAGGATAAAGTGTCGTAACAATTATAAAAGTATATTTAGATGTTATAAAGATATATAATTTTAATGGATGTATGAAGATCAGTATGTTGGATCAGATTTAATGTACACTGTTAAATCACTATTTAAGTGGTTGCGTAAAAAAGTATATGTTTAATTGATTATCAAATATAGTAAAAAACATAAAATATATTAATTATTTTTGTTTCATTTTAATTGGCTGTTTATTTGTGGTGTGGTTATTAGAATTACAAAAAAAAAAGAAAAAAAAACGCTGACCAGACATAGGCACTGTAGAAACATATTGAGCATCTTCTGGGACAAAACTTTGACTCTCTGTTGTTGTCTGGTCTCCTGTCATCACAGTGGGAGGGTAAAGCTTGGTGGTTTCTGTCAACAACATAATCTAAGATGTTATATATAAATTGACTGAAGAATATTTTGTATGCTAAAGCAATGCAACCTTGGAAACAGTTTTAGTGAATAAGGAAATAATGTATCAATATATATATATATATATATAAATATATATATATATATATATATATATATATATATATATATATATATATATATATATATATATATATATATATATATATATATATATATATATATATATATATATATATATATATATATATATATATATATATATATGTAACAAATTAAATTTAGATAAGCACTTTTTAAAATTAGGCATTATTTCTCATTTAAAATAACATTGAATATACAGATCACCATACCATTCATCATATTCACATGTTCAAATATTACACTCTGTGCTGTAGCTAACATAAAAAGCGCATCTTTCACTGTCATATTGGTGTCAGTAGTGTTGTCTATATATTCCATTGCTTTTTTTGTAACCTATAAAGTGAAGTTTATTTTACTCACATTTGTTCGGAATAATTTTTAACTTTAACTTATTTATAAGTAAATAAATAATTCCTGAATAACATTATCAGCATGACTTTGAAATAAACTAGATTGCTAGCTATTGCAGTTTTTCAAAGTACTGAATGATGTATTTAAAAGAAACCAACTTAAGACCTATTTATTTATAAATATTGTTTTATAATAGATTTTTTATTAGAAAATACATTTCACTGTAAATCTTGCTTAAATAAAACAGAATATTAAAACTACTATGCATATGTATTTACCTGTTGTATAAAACTGCTGATGCTACTCTGTAGATCAAAGCTCGATTCATTCAATAACCCAAGCTGGTTATTTAAATGTTTCTTTAATTTGTCAGACATCTGCACATTTTTCTTTAAAAAGAAGTGTCTACAAAGTTTTAATATCAACCAAGGTTGAAATCTATAAATTCAATTATATTTTTAACTAAGTTTTAATGTTAGAAGTAATTTTGTGTAAGATCAACTCAATTATATAAAATATTATGATATTATTATTATGGGCTGATAATAAAGTGAAACTGAAACCTTCTAAAAAACTGGACATTAAATCTTAAAATATATATAATATATAACCAACATACTCACATATTTTATGTTATCTATCATACCAGACATACAGTGTATGTCTCTACATATGATTATTACCTTTAAGATTATAATAACTAATATTTCAGGATCACTACAGCTAAATGTGGAGTTTAGAGTTCCTTTAAGCTGCCCCACATAATATCGGGAAAATCCAATAGTTAAAAAAAAAAAAAAAAAAAACTTAAGTCGGATTTTTATATTACAGCGAATTATTTTAAAAATACTAAAAGTTTTCAAATCAACAAAATAAAAGCAAAAAACATGTTGTGTAATACGAAATAGTTATATGCAGAGTAATTTTATTTATTCAAGGTCTGTATTTTTTTAACTATTTAATTTTTAAAGGTAACCACATAACTGAGTTGTTCTCGCATTATCTATAATCTCTATATCAGTGGTTCTTAAACTTTGTGAAGGTACCGAACCCCACCAGCTTCATAATTGCATTCATATAATCCTTCTTAATAGGAAAATTAAATATGATTAGTCACAAGTTCAAAACATGGGTTTCATAAATAGTGCATGCCCTATAAGCCTAAATCACTGAGTCCAAAGAACAAAACGATTAAAGTCTATTTTTAAGGAAAAACGACTTTTAATATTCATTCTTTTTAATTGTTTTACGTATTATAGTTATTGTATTATTTATAACAACCTTTATAAAAAATTATTTTAAAAAATTAAGTTTATTTATTCTCGCTGGTAATGTTGCAGGTAGCAATCCCCTTTAAAATAATGTTTTACAGACGAAGCATATATTTTTTAATGTTGTTAGTAATTGTTTGAAATATATTACACTTTCTGTACCAAATAATCAAAACAAAACACTATATAAGGTTTTGAATATTAACTGGGGGATTTGTTTGAAAGCACAGAACGTGCCATATAGAAACTCGCAAGGCGGCTGTGCACAATGTTGACCACACGAGCCATTCACGAGATGACGAACACAGGTGAACTCTACTTCATCTGCAATGTGGCCCTTCAGGTTCGAAACGAAACTATACTTACTAACTAATAAACTTAGTTTAGTAACATCTAAACAAGGACAAATTCGATTCAGGTACTGTGAGTAAACAAAATACATTCACCATGACGTAGCCTATAAACTAGAGACATGCCAGTATGACTGCTTGACTTGTAACAACGTTGAGAATTTTAACGTTGTTTACGTTAACATGAGATCAATAAAATCTCTTACACTTATCTAAGGGAGACAACAGTTAAATTATACATTCTACAGTAGTGTTGGGTAGTATCCCCTGGTACATAAAGACAAGTATCGCACAAACATTCAGCATTCACCTTAAGGACTTCTGTACCACTGTAAATTTGTACCTGATTTTTTTAACGTCGCGTTGATGCGCACATCTTTGTTCTAAATTAATGTAAATAATCGTTCAATTCGTTTTATTTTGTATTTTGTTCTACGGAAGATTCGAATAGTAGGATGTTATGGTTGAACACGTCCTCTACTTTCAATCCGGTAAAAGGTGTAAAGGGGCCATATATATTGTTATGTTATTAAATTTATAAAAAGTATTTGTTTACTTTTTTTATTTGCATTAAACTGATTGATAATTAATGCAATGACTTTTATTTCTTAACATAAAAAATAATACAAAAAAAAAACAACAAACAACTGGAGCGATGTTGCAAACTGATTAAGAAAAAAAAAGATCGGTTTCAAATACTTCATGTTTCTAAAAATTAACTCGATTTCATCAAACGGCATCTACACCAGTCCAACAGTACTGAAGATCAGAAGAATAATACATATGTGAAAGATTTAGAAGAGACAAAATACAATTCAATTTTTTGTAGGTACACAAAGGTACTTTTATTTTCATTAAAACTCACATTTTCCTTTGTCTTACATTTGGAGAATGATGTAGGCCTAACGTTAATGTCTCCTATCGTAAAACTAAATGAAAAAAGATATTGAAACTAAAATATATCTACACCTTAGATTATTGTAGGCTATTCTACTATATATATAAATATATATATATATATATATATATATATATATATATATATATATATATATATATATATATATATATATATATATATATATATATATATTATATATATAATAAAATAATAATATTTTGAATAATGTAATTAGTGGCGGAAATATAACATGGGAAGAGCTTGTATAAAACAAGTAAAAAGCTTCGTGATTAAAGTGTTGTGGTTTAGATATTTCATTGAACGTATAATTTGCTACTTTGAAGAAGCATTTATTTTTAACTGTATTTAAAGTAAAATGACTCAATCAATTTTGAGTTATCAGAATTTTCATAAAATGTTAACACTCTCTTTATGCAGGCTGTTAATGTGTAATATATGTATTGTATTGTGCAAAAAATATATCAATGATTATGGCCAATCAAAATGTATCTGTAAATTATATAAATATTTTTTTACTGTCTGAAATATGACATCCCATGTATCCACTACCAGATTCAAACACTTGAAAAAGAAGTTTTAAAGTTGTCACAGGATTTCCAGACAATTGGTAGGTCAATTAACTTTATTCTTTAAGTACTATAAACATCATAATTTTATTTAAAAAACATATGTATAAATGAAATTCAGCCAATTCATCATTTGTTTATACGCCAAGTTTGTTAATTTTTGTGTAGATTAAGAAATTTTAGTTTTTAGTTTTCTAAAATGTGGTCGTTGTCTTACTTCTCCAATTATTTACTTTTACTGGGCTAATTTGGTTTATGATTATATTGTTTAGAGCTGAAACATAATAAGAGCAATAGTTTTACTTGCCATAAGAACTATGCATAAAAGAATACTCATATAGTAGCTATGGGGTGAGAAAGTAATTTTTTGAAATGAAACATGTTAAGTGTCCAATGTGTAAATTTTGTAAGTAATTCACAATGCTATTACCAATGAATCAAGTAAAAAAAGGACTAAAATTTTAAGAGACATAAACATATATAACTTTACTGTATGGCTTTGAGTTAATATGATTACTATATACTTAATAAATGCCCACATTTGATCACGTTTTGTCTGTTTGTGCATTTTTATTTTAGTAAGCCTTGTTAAGTTTTACATGTGATTATAGTTTGACTTGTCTTTGTACATGCTACAATATGTATAACATTTATTTATTGTATACATTTCTTCTATAACTGACCAATGGCATTTCTTGTTTATTTTAGCGAATCAAAGAGGAAAACTGTGTTCACTAGGTTTTATTGCTTCACAAGGATTTTATGAAAGAAAGATGTATTTTATAATCTTACATCAAATGTATTTTGTAACATAAAGAAATTTATTTATAAACTTTACAATAGTGAAACCACTTCCTCCTTATAACATCAACAATATCAACTTTATTTGGCAAAAGACATTAAAAAAAATCTAACATCAAATATTTTTGGTAAAATTCAGACATTTATTTTTACAATCTTACATCAAAAGTATTAAGTAAAATAAGACATTTCATTAATTGTTTTCAATCTAACACCAAATGAAATATGTAAAATACAGAAAATTATTTTTACACCAAATGTATTAAGTAAAGTACAGAAAATTATTTTTACAACACTAAATGTATTAAGTAAAATACAGACTATAATTTTATAATCTAACAATGGTGAAACCACTTCCTCCTTCTAGCTTCAACTTGTAACAACAAAACATCAACTTTATTTGGTAAAATAAACATTAAAAAAAAAATCTAACATCAAATATTTTTGGTAAAATTCAGAAATATATTTTTTCAATCTTACATTAAATGTATTAATTATTAAGTAAAATAAGACATTTATTTTTTCAATCTAACACTAAAAGTATTAAGTAAAGTACAGAAAATAATTTTTACAACACCAAATGTATTAAGTAAAATACAGAAAATTATTTTTCAACACTAAATGTAGTAAGTAAAATACAGACTTTATTTTTATAATCTAACAATGGTGAAACCACTTCCTCCTTGTAGCCTTGCCCCTACATCAGCTTGAGCCACTTGAAAGAAAAGTTCTCCCCCTTTCTTCATGGAAACAACAGTTGATGCACAGACTGATGTTAGGGCAGACTTGACAAAAACTTCATTGCATAACACATCCCCCATTAAAACATTCACTCGAATTAGTTTATTTTCATTCTCCAGCAATGTTGCAATGACGAGATAGATGCCATCATCTGGTGCTACAAGCTTGCCTGTTGTCTGATTAAAATGGCAGCCGTTACGTTCCCACACATTATAGAATGTAGAAACAATGGTTCCCCTGGTTACTGGTGTGTTATTATCAACGTGCAGTTGACAGATGTAAGGTTTACATGAAGGGGATTCTGTTAGGAAAATGTGAAATTATTGTTAATATTATTAAACATAATGTATGTGTTTGTTTCTGTGTGATTGTGTCAATTTAATGTTTTTATGTGTGTGTGTGTGGGGAGGGGGGGAAAGCAGGTAAATGTGTGTTTGGTGAGGGGGAAAAGGGTGTGCATAAGTAAGTTATTTATTTCTACTGACACTTCAATACTGTCTGTTGTTATATTTAGTTTGTCATGTATTTTATATCTATAAGGTCTACTGATGTTTTAAAACGGCTCTTGTTTACACCATGTATGAAGATCTATACATTTTCTATACATTTTCCATCCAGCTCAATATAGTCTGTTGTAAGACCACACATTGGTAATACACTGATGATATATTTAGTGGATCTAAATAAGGCAACACTTATCCATAGTTGTAAGTAGTCAATGTAGCTATTGTATTTGTAGCTAATATGTTTGTAAACACTATAGCTGGTAGCTAATGTGTTTATAAATAACATAGCTGGTAGCTAATCTATATACATAATTCAAATTCTCTTCATGGGGACCATACGAGACACCACGCAGCTTAGCCACCACCCTCATCCCCACCTGTAGAGCTGGTTCGAATAAGTGATGGCTATTAGGGGCAGATAATTTTCTTTTTAAATGATTTGAAACTAAGGGGAGGTAATAAGTTCTGCTTGATATTTTTATTGTTGTCTGTAAACGGCTGCTTTCAATTATGAATTGTTGATAAGTAGAAAATAAAACAACTAAAAAGCGGCGTATGCTACATAGTGGGTCAGCTCAGGTGTTTATAAACAACATAGCTGGTAACTACATACATATCAACAACATAGCTCTTAGCTAATGTGTTTGTTGGATTTGTTGATTCTAAGTCAAGAGACAACCACTATGGTTCAGAGACAGGGTGTACAAGAGGTGTAACTCTTGCCACAATTCTCCCAGTAGACAGGGGGTAGGAAATAAATTGATCCAAGTGTTTAGGCTCATTAAATTAAGTCAGTTAGAGGTTGTCTATAGATAATTTAATCAGTCACCTTTACACCACCAGAAAATATGTGGTCTAAAATAAACAGGTATAACTGGGCATCTCAAAATGTAATAGGATAAAATAAATAATTAGCATTACAGCTACATTTTAAATGTGAAATTTAAAAGTAAAACTACTACGCTTACTTATTGTATTCAAAGGTGTTGAAAGCTTCAAAACATCCTTTACTTGATTTTCAAGCTTCAAAACATCCTTTACTTGATTTTCAAGCTTCAAAACATCCTTTACTTGATTTTCAAGCTTCAAAACATCCTTTACTTGATTTTCAAGCTTCAAAACATCCTTTACTTGATTTTCAAGCTTCAAAACATCCTTTACTTGATTTTCAAGCTTCAAAACATCCTTTACTTGATTTTCAAGCTTCAAAATATCCTTTACTTGATTTTCAAGCTTCAAAACATCCTTTACTTGATTTTCAAGCTTCAAAACATCCTTTACTTGATTTTCAAGCTTCGAAACATCCTTTACTTGATTTTCAAGCTTCAAAACATCCTTCGCTTGATTTTCAAACTGTAGAACAGTAAAAAAAAAAGACATTAAATTTAATAATTTAAAAAGTATTTTCAAAGATGACAAAGAAGAGGACAACTTTTTTTTAAAAATATAGATAAATGTATTAAATAAAAACAATTTTTAAAAATTTACTTCTTTTGAATGTGTAGATCCCCTATAATACATTAATATATATCTCAAACAGAACACAATTCTCTAGTAACTGGTCAGTTTTTATCCTTTGACACCTAAGTCTATGCTAACTGGTAAGTTTATATTCTTTATGATGCAAACTTAAATTAATAACTGGTTAATATGACACATACTCTTGTTACTGGTCATTTTAAATCTCCTGTAACACTAACAAAACTGGTCAGTCTACTTCCCTATGACATTGACATGATAAATGGACATGATATACTAGCTGTTACAATAACAATAAATCTAGTCAGTTTATATTCTGACAATAACAAAGCCTGTCAGTTTTAATTTGTATTAAAATGTATAACACAAAACACAGTACGATAATTCACCAAATTAATTTAGGTTTACCTGTTGAAAACACACACCCTACAATCACAATGTAAAATATCTGACACATCTTGAACACAATACAATGAGATTTCTAAACATGGCTACAAACTAGTTAAACAAAATATTGATTTCATAAGTAAACACAAAAAACAACCTAATTAATTACCTTAGCATATAACTCATTTAAGTTACAAGTTGTATGTAGCATGTTTTCCTGTAGTTGGTCTTGTATAGAAGACACCAGAGAGCAATGAATTCTAACTTCTTGGGTTAGACTATCTGTCTTAAGTTCCATCTCTTGATTTATTGGGTTTAAGTTGTTTTCATATTCTTTGATTTTTAGAGAAAGTTTTTCTAGTGTTTTGTTTGACTGTGCTTCCTTTTCTTTTAAACTCTCAATTTCTTTGTTCAGCTCCTTTATTTTGTCATCTTGTTCTCTTATTTCTTGTCTGAGGCTTTCAAGATTTTGTTTTTGTTGATTACAAAATTGTTCTGCCATATTATTTTTTTCTGTCTGCAAGTTGTCTCTCCATTGTTTTATTTCTGATATGTCATCTTCAGTCTTTTGTTTGCTGTCTTGAAGAGAAAATAGAGCTTTCTCTATAAGTTCTAGTCGACTGATTATTTCTGTAATACATGTAAAATTAACACACAATATTTAAATACTTAAAACAATGAAATAAGTATAAACTTTAAAAGTAGAAGTATTACATGCTTAACTTAGCTTCTTTTTTAATATATTTATTTCAGTAAAAAAAAAACCCCAATTACTCGCTGTTTGTAGAAATTGTTTAGCCGCTTGAATTGTTGATTTACTGTCTTCATATTTTTCTGTTGATGTAGTTTGTGGTGCTGAGTGAAATAAAATGTCTTCATTACATGGTTGATATGAATACAGACTTAAAAGTTTATTTTTGAGGGGTTTGTTTCATGTCATTTGTGTTTAAGAAGATTTAACAGTGCTGCTGATGTAGTAAGGGAACATTTTTTGTTTATTGTCAGTATAAATAGATGTGCATGTGATATGTTCAGTCATTTAATTTATTTAATTAGTTAAATATCATGTTTCTTCTCTGTTGGTATTTTAAAATAGATAATTTAGTACATAAATCTATATATATAATTCTCTTCTGGGAGCCGTTAGAAAACAAGCTGCAAGCGCCTCCTTACAGTCCCCTCTCTTTCTCTCTATCACTATCACCACCACCCCCACCCCACCCCCACATTATCTGGAGAGCGGTGTTCACTCTAAATGTTTACAAAGCTAAATGTTTACAAATCATAGAGCCGGGTTTCTATTAGGGGCAGATAATTTAGTTCGATTTTAAACTTACAGGAGGTAACTAAGAAATAACTAAGAGGAGGCTGCTTTCACGTGGAGATGAGGGGGGGGGGGGGTGGAGGGTCGGGGTTAGGGGAAAGTGGGGGGGGGGGGGGGGGTTAGTGTTTTAAAGCAAATATTTTCAGTGACAGCATTGGTACTGTCAAATTCACAAATTATGAATTGCTGAAAAGTAGAAAATAAAACAACTAAATAGCGGCGTATGATACGCTGCGGGTCGGCTCGTACATCATAATATTCTATGATCAGTCTTTTTAAAAATTAAGTTATCAAATAAATTGTTAATTCTTCTAATTTTTGTTGATACTATGTATGCTTAATAAAATAAATCTGAAGGAATATTATACAACATTAAATTTATAGTCATGTATAAATATTGACTTCAAATTGTGTAAATTTATATATATATATATCTGTGCACTCAATGTACTTAAAAATGTGTCAATTAAAAAAAATAATTGAAAGCTTGTGTACAGTCATCATAGAAGTTTTTGTTTAAAATTGTGTAAAAACCCAAATATTCATATAATAAGTAAAGTCATTATTTACATGCTTACTTAAAACTGTGTAAATAAATAAATATTAATATCATATAAAAAATCATTTAATAAGAAATTTACTTAAAGTTTGTGATGCTCCACCTAACCGTACTGAGGTGGCTGCTTTAACTTCTGGGAAAGGTTTTCTGAAGGTGAAAGATGAGTTGACATTTTTATCCCCTAACTCAGCCTTAGTTTTGTCTGCAGTCTGAAAAATGACAAGTGAATTAGGATGACGCTTTTGTTGGTAAATGTAGTCTATTATATCCACTTATGTCTAATATACAAAGTAAAGGTAAAATAATGAATAATTACAATTCAATAAAATCTTACAGTTTTGACAGCTTCATTGCCAGGTTCCATAATTTTTGTTTGTTCTTCAAACTAGTTTGTGCGTTCTGTAACAAGCTTGGACTAAATTCAAAACAAAATAAAGAAATTAATTGAGAGGTTTTAACTGTCTGCTCACTAAATCTACTTATGTGTTACATGCAATGTAATACTGAACCCCTTTGAAAATATCATGCTTTGCCAATCTGTAGAAAAGGTATTCATTTTGTAATTTAAATGTATAACACTTTCTTATGTTTATTAATGGTTTTTTAAAAAGTTACAAACGGAACAGAAGCCTTTTTCACATTAGCCGAAAACAGTAAATATATTAAGAATAACAAAAAATATAACACTAGAATATACACAGAAATAGAATAAGAGAAATGATAAACATCGCAAGGATTCTGTTTTAGGTGGTCATGCAAAAGGTAGTTTATTAGTTTTGTTTAGAATAGATTTTCAGATAAAGAGACAATAGTTTTTAAAACTTTTAAAGTTTTAACTTTTATTTTATTTACATTAGCAATCTTGTTCCATAAATTTAAACAAATTATCGAATTATCACCAGAGTATTTTCAGTTAGATTTTTAGATGAGATCTACTAACTTGGAGTAGGATTATCTTTTCAGGTAATCTCCAAGTATAGCGTAGGAAATTATCCAGTAATGTTTGTAGAGTTTGGTAAACATTACTTACTGTAAACCATAGTTTATCTGAACATTGAAATATAAATAGTCAAGTGTACTAAATAAGTGTTTGAACTCTATTTTAAGTTTAATTGACATTCACAAAGAAACAGAAATAAATAGAAAATTAGTTACAGTTAAATCTAGTAGCTCTAAATATAAATAATAAAGTCAAGTGTAGTAGCTAATTAGTCTAATTATTTTTTTAGAAACAGAAATAAAAAACTTTGTGATGGTCAATTAGATATCCAGACCTAGAATCTAGGCCAAGTAAAAATGTTTACCAAAATAGTAAAAATGGCTAGAAATAGATGTTTAATAGCAGCAATAATTAGCAAAAACACTTAAAAATAATTAGAAATACAAAATTAATAGCACAATAATAGTATTTAATTTTATTAACATGCACATAAAATCAATCTATGATCTAGATATATTAACATTTTAAAATTAAAACAAAACATGGTGCCAAATAAAGTTTAATAAGGTAAGGTTTAATTTTAAAGAGAAGTAGAATAGATCAACCACCGGTGGATTCTGGAACGACAAGACAGACTACGCCTTATACCATTTTTTAAAATGCTAATCTGTATAGATCTACCATACCATTCCAGAATACTAATCTAGGCTGTGCTAGATTTATTCTATATATCTACTACTCAAATACATTGGGCTTGACTGGGGGATTCTAGATCTCGGACTCGAGTAGTTACTAGTAACTAGATCTAGATTAGTACATTAGTAACTCAGGCTGGTGTAGGTGTAGAGTCTAGCTAGCTAACTACTGTAACTAGCTAGCTACATCTAGAAAATCTAGATCTAGACCAGATCTAGTTATTCTAGACGTCTACTAGATCTAGATAGTGGCTAGCTGGACTAGCTGCTGCTGCTAGCTAGACTGACTAACTCTATAATCTATTGCTAACTCACTCGTTATATTATATAATTATATTGTCCATGGTTGGTGAGAATCAAATATTCTTTAACAGTAAGCGTCACTTGCAGGTCCATAATTAGAATAAGTTAACAGAGAGAGAGAGAGCTACAACAGTATGATGAGTATGTTGATACATCATAGATCTACAAGTGATAAACATAAACATTTTTGAGTAAAATCTCTTTATAATTTAAATTTTACATAGATTTCTATAGATTCTTCTAGATCTAGATTAGATTCTAAAAGCATGAGGTCAAAATTTGCCAGTTTCCTGTTTTTGTCCGAATTCTGTCAGGGCGATCATAACAGTTAACCAGTAACACTGAGACCAATCATATTTAATATTTATGATTCTAGCCCTCAACAGTCATAAGACATAGATCTAAACATTTGATGATCAATCATAATCATTTAAATTCATTTAGATCTAGATCTAGTCTAGAACTAATCATTGGATTTTAAATGTAAAAAGAAAAGGGTAATCTATCGTTTTGGGTACGTAAAATCGCCCGCGATTTGTAATGTGAAAAACAGGTGACTCCTTAAATTTTAATAATTATTTCACATTTTGAGGAGGATTTATGTTTTAAAAAATTCAAAAATGTTTCCTTGATTCATTTATGTACCTGTTTTTAAACAAGGAGTCACCTGTTTTTCACATTACAAATCGCGGGCGATTTTACGTACCCAAAACGATAGATTACCAAGAAAAGTCTTAAAAGACGAGACTAGTAGACTGTGGTAGACTCTATTAATTCATTAAAACTTTTTAAGTTTAAAGATATATAAATCTAGATCTAGATCTAGATCTAATAATTTGATCTATAGCGAAATATTTCATGACATTAGCTTTAAATTAGCTTTCACTCATCCAGTAAAACGTTTAAATAATTTAAATACCATGAATGAAATGAGAAACAAGCCAACACAACTCGCATCTACAGAAGTAAATAAGCCGCCATATTTTAAAAATAGAATTGGGTGTTTAAAAAATGAATTAGGCTCTACTATATTGAAACAAACTTAAGCCTAGATCTATATTTTTGAATGTTCTGCTACCAAATTGTAACGCATAAACATTCATTAAAAAAAACCTTTTAATTACAAGCTTTTAAGTAATAATGCACTAAAAAGTAGAGAATAAATTGTACACTACTATTTAAATAGTTAAAAAATAAAGAATATATATATATATATATATATATATATATATATATATATATATATATATATATATATATATATATATATATACATATATATATATATATATATATATATATATATATATATATATATATATATATATATATATATATATCTATATATATATATATATATATATATATATATATACGTGTGTGTGTGTGTGTGTGTGTGTGTGTGTGTCGGCTAACATGTGCCTAAAATTTAAATATACGCCACATATGCGTACATGCATGTGAATAAGCTCTTTTCACTGCAGACGTAATAGTAACGATGTTTATCTATAGTCTGTTAACAATACATTTTGGATGTAGCATTGTTTTCTCCAGAGTTAACACGTTTACGTCATGGTGTCACCCAAATACCTTTGTAATAATTGTCGATTAGTTCCTAAAAGACTATATATTTAATTAATGAAACAGGCAAAAAAGCAATTTTCTTCTGTACATTTTGCGATTTTTTGCCTTGGTGTCACCCCCTAAACAGTGTTTCTTCCAGACTTTTTTCTCCGCGGGGGGGGGGGGGGGGGGGCACTTGAAAATTTCGGGGGGGGGGGGCGGTAAATTTTCTTCGGGGGGGGGGGGGGGGGGGGGACACTGTTAAAAGTATATATTTTCTATATAAATTATATAAATGGTGTCATTCGGCTCAGTCCGCACCCCGCCCTTGCTACGTCTCTGCCTGTAGTTGACCTATTTGAATAGTACTTAGATTCTACATATTATTTGAAAAGTCCACATTTGCTGTTAATTATAATGTTGGGGGGATCATTAGTAGCCATTAATTCGAAATCGGTATAGCGTATATAGTAAGGGGCAGACTATAGAAGATCGATTAAAAAATGAAGACACCCTGAAAAGACAATAGCTGTTATTATCCTACTTAAGTTATCACTATATTTTTTTGGAGTTGTGGTAAATAGTTTCCTGAGTTTAGTGGTATGCCTGTAGTATACAGCTAGGTAAATAATGAGGAGCTGTTGTGAAGGTATCTTACATAAATCAACACAAATGTATAATACCTTGTGATTTATTATTAGTTCCTTTAAGTGACTTCTGTTAGAACTTGGTTATTCATAAACGATATGTTAGTTTGACATAGCTTTTGACCTTTTATCACATTTTAATGTTATACGTATCAGGTGTTGACGGTGGTTGTATTTTTTATCAAACACAAAATAGTCCGTTCCTAGACTATCGTGTAGCATTATTTTAGAAAAACGTGTTTACCGTTTTGATTAAAATTATAATATTATGAATACAAAATTATGTTTCAATAATATACATCCGTTAACGATATATTTTTCATAATATAAACCTCAATCAGGAGAATATTCATCTTCATTTTTTTTTCTGCCGAAAACACATAGGGCAGATGAAATTGAGGTCATCTGTTTCAATGACCTCGGCATAATGTGATCAGCATTATGCCCAGCCGTGTTTGTTTCATTAACGTGCGTCAGGTAGCCGTCAGAACTGGGTTAACTCGGGGAGCAACGGGTTAGCAGTCTAGTGCTCTAACGCTCGACCACGCCGTCCCACAATCAGGGGATGCCCTTAGGGGGCGCCAAAATGGGTTGGAAAAAGAAATTGAAAGGTTGAGGGGGGAGGGGGGTGCAAATAGGAAGTTTGAGGGGAGAAGGGTGCAAATCGGAATCTTGAGAGGGGGGTGGGGGTGCAAATCGAAAAGTTTGTCCCCGGGCGCCGGGAAGGGTCGCTACGCCTCTGTGCTTGTCCAGCCTATGTCACCGCAAAGATGAAGAGTTGCCTCCCATATGATTGTCGACTAAAATTTAAGGGAGGCTAAGTGTAGTAACTTTAAAAAAAAAAGATAGAATCAGAAATACATGTATGAATATTTATAAATTGCACTTATATAAAAGCAAACACATAATAAATAAACATACTGTTTTTGAATAATCATTACACTAATCACTTACTTTGATTATTTCCTATTGCAAATGTCTTAAATCTAAAACAAAAAACTAAGACAGTTTGCGTTGAATTTTTAGATTTATATGCTCATTTTATTTCTTCAATGGTTAGTGAGAAAATCAATGATTACGAATTTTGTCTCCTCGATATAGGCCTATAGAAATAATTATAAATTATCATTACTGATGAAAAGCAAATATTCTCTAACAGTGAGCGTTATTTGCTGGTCCACAATTTGAATAAGGTAACAGAAAACTACGACAGTATGTTGATACAAGTGATAAAAGGTTTCGAGTAATTATTACATAATGAGCTGACCCGCGTCAGCATACGCCACTATTTAGTTGTTTTAATCACTATTTTTCAGTAATTCATCATTTGTGAATTCGACACTACCAACGCAGAGACTGAAAATATTTTGTTTGAAAACACTATCAGTAGCTCGTGAAGGACGATTATCCACACCCTCACTTTCCACTCCTCCCCCCCCCCCCCCCCCCCCCGCCCCAATGAAAGCAGCCGTCCGTGACAACAGTCTAAAGACGACAATGAAAAGATGAAGCAGAACTTGTTATTACCTCCACTTAGTTTCAAAGCGTTTAAAAACTAAATTACCTGCCCATAAAAGCCGTTACTTATTCGACCCGGCTCTACGATTGTAAACATTCGGGGTAAACCACAGCTCACCAGACTGGTGAGGGTGGGGGTGGTAGCGATATGGTCTGTTGAGCTTACGTGGGGCTGTCTCGCATTTTCCGTCTATATATTTATATATATAAATATAGATACCAATAGCTCAGGAACTGGACAAAAAAATCTCTTTATAAAGCATCAGGTCAAAATTTGCCAGTTTCCTGTTTATCGAACCGTATTTGCAGGCACTTCTAACTGACAGATACGGGTCGTAATTTATACGTATGTCAAGACTGAAGACAATGCATCGTGACATTAAATCTGACTTAATTGGTCGCCTGATTAATTTGTTATGAATTAATTAAAATTTTGACCAAATTAGTAAGCAGTTCTATCCACACGCACCATCACGGCAAAAACGCGTTATCACGTTCAATAGCTTCGCAATGGTTTTTTAGTAATGTTACTCTATTGTAAATAAAAATATGTAAAGTACTAAATTTTAAAAAATAAAAAACGTTTTAATAACAAGCTTTTTTTAGTCATATAAAAAAATCATAAAAAACGTTTTAATAACAAGCTTTTATGTAATAATGCACTAAAAAGTAGAAAATATATTTTACACTACTTTTTAAATTTACTTTAAAGAAAAGCGTGGGTCTCTTCCTAAATATTACTAAAGGTATCCAATAGATACTAAAGTGAACCACGCTTTTCTTTATAGTAATTTAAATAGTAGTGTATAATTTATTTTCTACTTTTTAGTGCATTATTACATAAAAGCTTGTTATTAAAACGTTTTTTATGAATTTTTTTTTACAATGCGCACAATATTTGCACAGTGTAAATAAATGAAAATAGAAAAAAAAAGGGTTTGCACCAAAGTAGTGTGCTAATGGTTATTCATGCTGTTGTAAGTTTTTTGAAATGATCTGCGTATTTTAAGTGAATAAGTAAAATTGCATACATTTACAAAGACGAAAATATAGCAAGGGTTAAAATTACGGCTACATATGTAAGTTTTGAGCCATTAACGCTAGATCTAGATGTAGTTGTATGTGCATCATTTATTTCAGTGTAAAGCCCTTAGTCCCAAGCATCGAAGGTTAATCATGAATTGTTTCTTATATATATAATAGATCTAGATCTAGATCTAGTAGACAATTCGATTTAACACCTTGTGTATTATGCCTTATGGTGTTTAACTGCGTAAACTGCATGGCAGTTATTTTAAAAAAAAGTGCAATTGTACTGAAATGTTAAGTATGAATCATAGGCTATTTATTCAAACTGTTTACTTTCGATAGTACATGAGTTTAAGGAAAATTCTGATTATTGTTCAATGTATTTGTTTAATGTAAATGCTATTTCAATAGAGCGAGGTAGAATTAGAGCTAGGAAAGACGTTTATTATGTTAGCTGTAACTTTTGTATCATTTTGAAACTTTTACATTTAATTTAAGACTTTTTAAATTTCTTACGTTATCCCTTGCTTACATGTTAGTAGGTCCAAGTTAAGTTTGGGCCTGCTATTTAATAGTTTGATACCATGTGTTACTCATAACTCGGGCTAAAACTAGTTCTATCTTTCGGCTTTGTCTGAAATCTTTTACGTTACACAGATCATATTATCTTTTACTCAAATTTGAATCATGACCGTAATCATTACTATATCCTCGATACTGCCTGAAATCGTACTTAATATTAAAATGGTTGTATTCAGGCATTGTATTTTATCTGTTTAAAATACGATGTAAAGTTTCATACTAAAGTATGGTGAATATTTACAATAGCTATAAGTATATAATAGGATAACTTGTTGACAAATTATGTTGTTGCATATCACTTTTATTGCTAGGGAGTAATAGTTAAGATCCCTTGGGTTAGCAAGTTGTAGTTGCTCCGTTTTTGTATTATTTATCCTAAGGGTTGAATAATGGCATACAAGTAGCGTGAGCGATTGTTTTGTAGGATTTTGGCTAGGGCTAGTTGAATGTGAAGTGTGTTGAGCTAGAGGGGAGTAAATAACCAAAACATTTGTATAGTACAACATTTTGATTAACTTACATAGTAGTATGATAATCAATGATAAGTTACCTTATATTCATAATTATGGCTACTATTTTTAACTAATTTATTAAGATAAACTTGACAAATTTCTGTTGTTATGTTAGAAAAATTAGGTTCGTCTTTATCTATTATGAATGCTGTAGATGGCAAAATAGTGGAGTTGTAACTCGTGAAGCGCTTCCTAATTCCCTAGTTGTACAATATTATGCTGTAGTGAAAGAATATCTAAACAGTCTCTGAAACAGAGAAATAAGACCAGCAAAATAACAAGATTTGTTATGTTTACTAAACGATATAATTCAACATAATTTGGTACGTTGTTATTAAATAAATATAAACAGGTTAGATATTTCTTAAAGTTTATTTATGTGCATGCATAGCCAACGCTCATTTCTACGTGTTTATAAATTACATAAACATTAATCGATGTATCTGCAGGTACTTCAACAAAAGCAGCAGGGACTGGGTTGTAATTGCAGTACTACAACACACCAGACCTATCTACTGATCGTTTATCAATGAAGTAAAGACCATATAGTTTTAAACTTAAGTAGCTTGATTTAAAGCAGTATGGAGAGTTATAGTTTTAGTTATTGCGACTATTTCAATTTTGACGATGAATACGGAGATTTTGAGGATTCTCCATATGAGGAGGATTTGAGTGATCTGGAGGACTTTGAATCTGTTGAGACACAAGAGTAAGCCAAAGCATTTTCTTTTATACCTAAAAGTGTTCTATCTTATTGTAAAAGTAAAGTTAAGTTTCCTTTCAAACCTGACACTCTATAGGGCAAGTGAAGTAGAGTTCACTTGTTTCTGAAACCTCGGCATCTGAAGAGATAGTGTGGTCAACACTATGCCCAGCCGCCTTTACGTTCCCTAACATGAGTTAGGTACCCATCAGAGTTGGGTGGACTCACAGACGGTCTACTGACTTGAACCCGGATTCGAACTCGAGATTATCGTATTGCATTTCCTATTTTATTATCAAGAAATTTTAAATTACATTTTGTTATTCGATATTTTTCTCTCCAGTACAATCAATATTACTCATGTTGGCAAACCTACCAAATACATTTTTCAGTCCTGATTACAATCAATAAATAGCAGTATTTTAATTTTAAAATGAAAAGTATCACTCCAGTACTAGCGTCCGTCACGGCTCTATTGTTGTAAACAACATTTTGAACGGCAGCTCACCAGACGGTTTGAACGATCCCTACCACTTAGTTTTTTTCCACGTTTTACTCTTGTAATTTGTAAAATAAAAGCTAACATTTATTTAGAAATTCATTTAAAATTAGAATTAAATCCCATCCTTGCGTTTATATTCTCGATGTATTTACCAGAAATGTTTGAAAGTAATCGCTGAAATACACAAGGGTAAATACGAGGAAAATGAAAACAACGCCTTATACTAAAACATGAAATGACTTTATGATTTCAAGCGGTCGTCTTTGAACTCGCTGTATACTGGCTTATGGCTAAACATTTATATCTCAACTGTCGATAACGTTTCCATACACATCATATTTTATTAGAATACAATAAAATGGGGGGGGGGAGTGTATAAGTTCCGATGTAAATTTAATGAAATAAACTTTACTAGATTGGTATATGTTAGGACATGTACAGTAATTGTAGTGTCTGAATATATGCACAATTCATTTAAAATTGTCTAGTCCCCTTTGCATTTAGCAAGCGATGTTTGTTGAAATAGATTGATACATGCACATATGCATAAATAATTACTATAATTATAATTTATATATATATATATATATATATATATATATATATATATATATATATATATATATATATAAATTTAATATTTATTGCAATATTTATTTAAATATCTCTATTAAAGGTCGTCTAACATCATGACTACTTCAGAAATGTGCACACACATTGTTAAGGGTCTAGAACACATGTGGACAGATAAAATGTTGTTTGATTTTACTGTCAAAATCGAAGACGAAACAATCAAATGTCATCGCCTGATCCTAGCCGCATGTTCGGATTTTTTTCAAGCACTTTTTCGTTCAGGCATGCGAGAAGTCACCGAGAACTGTGTTGTTCTACACGACGTTTCATGTGACGTGTTTACGTTAATTCTGAGGACATTGTACACGGGTGTAGATATTTTAACTTCCCAAAACCTGCTCGATGTTTGGCGAGCAGTTCACATGCTGCAGATCTCTTTCATGGTCAAGTTGTGTGAGGACTTCGCCATTGAAACGGTTGCGATGGATACGTGGGAACAGATTTACACAAATGCTAAACTTTTAGATTCAGAAAACGTTCTTGAACACCTCCAGAAATTCATGATAAAAAACTTTGAACAAATTTCTCTGACATCAACATTTCTTCAACTGTCTTTTGAGGAACTAAGGAATTTGATAAAATGTCAAGATCTAGTAGTGAGCAAAGAAGATTTAGTTCTTGAAGCAGTGATACGATGGGTCAATTTTGTTCAGATAATGACAGCTGAGTTAAAAGAAAGTAAATGTACATTGAATGCTAAAGATTCAAACAACGTTAACTATATGATGCTAGATTCTAGTGTTACAGTCGACTTTGTAAAAAATGAAATAGCTTTGAGAAAGGAAAAACTTACAGGTCTATTAAAAAAGATCAGGATCTATCTTGTAAGTCCTTCACTTTTGTCTCATGTATACAAGATGGACTTAATATCTGAAAATAAAGATTCAAGTGACATAATTGTCGATGCTTTATTATATCACGTTCAAGACCTGAGACAAAGTCATTGGCCATCTGTTGCTCTACATAGAACGTGTAGTGAATACAGACATGGTGGAGTATTCGCTGAAGGAAAGGGGCATTTTAAATTTTTAAGTGCAATCGAAGAGAAGATTTATACAATCTCAGATAGCTTTTGGTTGCGTGAAGATGTTCATTTAACCACAGTTAATGGAGAACTGTATGCTGTAGGTAGACAAAGATGTCACCTCAACGGAGAATTTTATTTACATTTTTTCAGTGAAAACAAATGGAATTTTGTGACGAGACTGAAATGTCACAACTTGTTATTTTTTTCACGTAGAGATTGTGTTTACATTTTAAACAAAGATGCCCAAGAAATTTACAAAATAAAACCAAAAGACGATCCAGATCATTTACGTATTCTCACAAAGTTTGTAGAAGATATTAAAGTTACACATGTAATTGCTCTAGAAAACAACATTTTGTTATTTTGTTCCGAAATGCAAAACGGGTTAGAAGAGACAGCCGTTCATAAATTTGATATTGTATCCAAAGTTTGGACCAGACTAGACAATCTTGCTGGACCAGCAGAAAATTTAATTAGTTTCAAGAATGGTACAAACAACTACACTTTACAGGCAAATGGCAGTTTGTATTTGGTTCTTTGTTTACACGACAGTAGAAGCATCCAATTTGAACACATTGCTAAACTTTGGACTGGCAAAAAAGTGCTGCATGGCGCGTTCACTTACAAAAAGAAACTTATAATTGTTGAAACTCGATCGCAAATCAACCCAGCTGAAGAGGAAAAACTAGAAGTTCCAAATCACTTTAATTTGATCAAGTACTGGCGAATTTTTTGTACATGTTCTAATGTAGCTCCTCTCATAATATCAACAGCTTTCCTTAGAGAGAATAGCTATTACTACTAAATGTCTAACTATGCTAAACATATATTGTTTGTTTTTTTTTACACACAAATAGAATATAAATACATATAGTATATGTAAGTATAAAATTGAAGTCCTTATTTAAAATACTCATTTATTTGACGATGAGTTAATTTTGTTTACCTTGTATATATATATATATATATATATATATATATATATATATATATATATATATATATATATATATATATATATATATATATATATATATATATATATACTGTCTGTACCAGCGAGCTGATTTAAAAAAAAATAATTATTGGTCTTCATTTTACTATTATTTTGTGTGGGTGTTTCAAATTTTAACACTCTGAATATCAAAGCGCATGCTGCTAATGCTGGTTTTACAGCTTTTGAATTGTTTAACATATATTGTCTTTATGATATGTATTAACAAATGTTTCATATTCGTTAAAAAATTCTTATTTATTTACCAATGTAATAATTAACAATGTAATAAAATAAGTTCTACTTATAAGCAATTGTTTTCTTACAAATGTATTATGAAGTTTTATAATTTAACAAGAGTTACGAAATACAAAAAAGTATATTTTATATTTAGGTATACTTCTTATATACTCACATACTTTTAACAAAACTTTAAAGACATTCTTAAATGTTGAATTTGCATGGTTTTTATCTAGTTTGTTTGTTTTATTAATTAAGTTAACACGATACGATGGAGCTTGACGACGCATACAACCGCTTGTGCTTAACTATTTTATCAACAATAAAACCAAGTATACCATGATACGTTCACGCTTTCCATCCGCAACCAGCTCTTTTTACAATCTTAATGGCAAATATAGGTAAAAAGGGAATACACAAATGGAATCAATCACACAAATCAGTAGGTATGTTGAAAAAATCAAATTAATATATTAGCAGTGTGTTGCATTAGTTGTTTCTTATCACTTGAATAAACAGGAGACCCCTTGAAGTTAATTTCAACACCTCATACTATACATCTTCTCTGCCAACATTTCCTCTATCTGTCATCATTATTGGCCAACTCACTAACACACTATACATGAAACGATACACCACAGAGACTAAACGTTAAAGGGACATCATCAGTAAATATAATGCAAGGGACGTAACAATAACTCCCATAACCAGAGTTTCTTCCTCGAGACATCTCTTCGGGGGGGGGGGGAAATCTACCGAAAAAGTCTACCGCCTCCCCCCCGAATGAAATGGAATTTATATATATATAATTCTCTTCTTTGAGACGATAGAAAACACCAAGCTTTAACGCGCTCCCTACCACCCCCACCCCTACATGGTCTGGTGAGCTGTGGTTCACGCTAAATGTTTACAATCGTAGAGCCGGCTTTAGTGACGGCTATTAAGGGCAGATAATTTAATTTGAAACGATTTTAAACGTAGGGAAGGTAACTATGATGAGTTCACTTTCCGGGGGGGGGGGGGGTGTAGGGGTTGGGGTTGGGGAAATGAGGGCGGGGGGTTATCGTCCTTAACGAGCTACTGATAGTGTTTTGAAGCAAATATTTTCAGTGGCAGCGTTCGTACTGTTGAATTCACAAATTATGGATTACTGAAAAGTAAAAAAAAAAAATAAAACAACTCGACAGCACCAATGCTGCCACTGAAATTATTTGGTTTAAAACACTAACCCCCCCCTTTCCCCCAACCCCTACCCTGCACCCCCCCCCCCCGTGAAAACAGCCTCCTCTTAGTTACCTCCCCTAAGTTTAAAATCGTTTCAAACTAAATTATCTGCCCCTAATAGCCGTACTAAACCCGGCTCTACGATAGTAAACATTTAGCGTGAACCACAGCTCACCAGACCATGTGGGGGTGGGGGTGGTAGTGATAGAGAGGAAGAGAGGGGACTGCAAGGCGCGCTTGCAGCTTGTTTTCTAACGTCTCCAAGAAGAGAAATATATATAGATTGTTACAATTTTAATGGTGCCAAACTTCAATTATCTCCCCTGTTCACATTATTAGAAACAGACACATTCCAAACACAACTAGACAGTTTAGTAAGGAGAAAAAAAAACACAGGTTAAAACAGATAACACACGACGTCGGCACAGAAGCAACAGATTTGGACAAAATACAGATATACTTCACTGTTTACCACCAACAGCTGTTTAATAAAGAGGACACCAACAACGAAACCCCCAAAAATACCTGAAATTCAGGACGAAATTAAAAAACGAAAAGCGCGACAAAATCAGCGGATTTATGGAAGGCTTGAGGAAAACCTGAAACATATACCTGACAGAGATGACCGTGCGAAATATTCCAATAGGGACTACATTACACGTATATCCAAACTGGCAAACCCGACACACAAAATCAAAAGTCACAAATTATAGACCCATTTCCCTACTTAAAAGCGACTATAAAATGTTTGCAAAAAAACTCACCCGAAAAATGTCGTGTAGCATTTACAGCGGTAATCAGCACCAGTGTTTCTTCCAGACTTTTTTTCCGGGGTGAGGGGGGCACTTGATATTTTCGGGAGGGGGTGGAGGAGGGCGGTCAACATTTTCCGGGGGGGGGGGGGGGGGCGGACACTAGTAAAAGTATATGTTTACTATATAAAGTCCATCTTAATGGGAGGGTGCCCAGCCCCCCCCCCCCCCCCCCCCGAAGAGATGCCTAGAAGAAACTCTGATTAGCACAGAAGATCTGGTGAGGAATAATCTATTAGTTTTTACGTGTGTAGTGTGTCTAATGGGGGTGAAGGACAAAAGGCCGATATTCAAAAGGCCGACAAGACAAAAGGCCGACACGGACAAAAGGCCGACATGGACAAAAGGCCGACAGCCAAAAGGCCGACAGGACATAAGGCCGACAGGACATAAGGCCGACAGCCATAAGGCAGACAGCCAAAATGCCGACAGGACATAAGGCCGACAGGACATAAGGCCGACATCCAAAAGGCCGACAAGACAAAAGGCCGACAAGTTTTATTAAACAACAAACTACAATTACAGACATGTTTTTATTTTTATTGAAAACCAGTTACATAATGATAAATGTATATTACAAAATAGAAAAAAATAGGGCCTAGTATGACAAATTGTAAGCGACGCCACGCAAAAATTCAAGTGTAGTTCTGTTTCCTCTTTCTGCAATTACATTTGTTATCCTGTCCTCTTTCTGTAAATATTGTTTTTTTTCGCTTTTTTGCTGGCTCTCCAAGCAATATTGCCTCCATCTCTACTTCAACTCTACCTTGTTCCTGCTTTAGTTTGTTTAATAAACAAAATACTCCAGGGTGATCCTTCCCTACAATTACCTGCCACCTCCTGTGCCACCCCTCAACCGTGTTTTGTGTCCTAGGAATCCCATGTACATGATTATCATGTACAGACCAAAACTCTGGTGGAAAAAGTGGTGGAACCCTCACCTCTCTTGTGTTTAACAACCTCACTCGACCACAAACGTAGGTCTAGTCAAACCACTTTACTAACTCAGCTGTGTTTGGTGGGAAAATGTTTTTTTTAATTCATTAAATGCTTCCGGAGTCTCTGCACTTGGAAGAAATGCCAGTGCTGCTATTTGCCGCATCAGCAGGCAGAACTGTGGATCCTGGCCATAAATAAGTACCATCCATGATCCAATACATAGCCTCGCCAAGCTTTTGGATGTTTGATTCAGTAGAAAATATTAGCAACTTGTCATTGTTTATGGAGCTTTCCTTTAACAGAAACAAAGCTCCTGACTGTGTCAACCTCAGGTCATCTGGAATGGCCACATCTTCTAATGTATGTGGCTCTACTGGATGGTTTTTATTTTGAGTCCTTTTAATTCGATTTGGTAATGCCTGCTTTGATGGCATATCAACCCTCGTTACCATTCTCATGTCAGACGTTGATGCCGCTACCATTTGAGTTGGTAGTTCTTGACTAATGGCAGCAATGGTCTTTAGCTGTGTCAATTTTTCACGAACGACGACGTCACTGGCTTGTGGTGAATGGTTGTGTGCACTACACTTTCTCAGTGTGTGGGAACCATTTAAAAAAAATCGTGCTAGCTCGAGCTTTGCAGAGAGTATCTGCCTTTTCACGAGCAGCTAAATGTTGGCATAGGCTACATTCCCAGTAGAAGAGGTCTCCTCTTTGTCTGTTTTTTATTAGGACAAATCCATCAACATCAAGCATTTGTTTTCCTTCTGTGACTCAATCACTTTACATTCCATTGTATCTAAAATATACAATTATATACGACTGTTTAAGTTTCTCATAAATATTCTTAGGTACATGTAACTGTTCATACCAATACCCCAGAGAATTTTAACAAGGAATGTTATAAGCTGTTGCTAATGTAGTAAAGGGCATCACTAGCAATTGATTTCAGTTTAATAAAAGTTTCGTGACTAGACTGCACTGTATTTACTTTGTTACATTTTGTCTTATGACATGCGTCAACTCACCCCACCTACCCCCGACTCACCTTCAAAATATAACATATTTTGTGTTTATTCAACATGTAGGCATACTAAATTGTATTTTGTTTATTACTATCAAATGTAGTGTTTCTTTTTAACAAAAAACAAAAAAAAAAACTTACCAATTTCGGCACACTTGTCCATGTCGGCCTTTTGTCCGGATCCCGTCTAATGTTATTGTTTATTTTAAGAAAAACAAAACAATGGGGAAGCTACCTAAAATACTTGTAAAATGAATATATTTAATTGTTGTCTCCCTTGGAACAGTCAGCTTATCTGCAGTTTCTAATGAATTTGTTTAGAGAGTGTGTCCCTTCTTGTTAAGAGCGTTTTTTTTTCATCTGGTTGTTGGTTTGTCCTTCGTTTTTCCTTCCCCAAGCCGTTACCTAAATCGTCTTCTTCCGTGGTGTGTTGTGTACCGGCTGACCTGCTCTAGTGTGTGAGAAGAGGGGGCGGGTGGTGGACGTTAGATTTTCTATAGACTTGTCAGTAATTGACGGTTGCCTAGCTAAAATGTTAGCTTTATTCTAGCTGCTGAAAGGGGATTAATCGTCCAGTTTTCTCTGTCGTGTATATCTTTGGGGGTGGCCTTTGGTAAAGATGTCAGCCATTTTTCAAGGTCTGGTAACATTCGTGTACCAGTCCTCCATGTATATATATATATATATATATATATATATATATATATATATATATATATATATATATATATATATATATGTATGCGCGCGCGTGTGTGTGTGTGTTTATACGGATGTATGTATCGATGTCTGTATTTTCTTTTTTTCCCCTTTCGTGTGTGGTAAGTCTTTGATACATAACATTCCACCGATTTCTATTACTGCCTGTCTACACTGCTACTTCTACCCTTCTTATGTGACGTCGACTACCAACGCTTCTATAAATGACAACTTTGATGTGCCTGACTTTCTAGACTTCTAGAGTAACAGATTGCACTAAATTTCAGTAGAGACTGGTTCAACTAAGAAGTTCTCTACGCACATTTTATAGCTGAGTTTGTTAAATTTATATACCGATTGCTACGACTACATAATTTCTCTTGACAGACTTGCTCCACTAAAGGCATTCAAGCTACTCCTCGACTTGAATTCAAACTGATCTTCACCTTTCTTACCGCCTCTAGTCCCGTGACCCTGACCTTATCTTTGATTGGCTACCACTGGTCATCTTGTTTCTGGTTTTGTCTTTCCAAATTATGACAGTTATACCGCATGTAACATGACGTCATTACACAACGTACAGCTTGTTCTTGGCATTAAAGGTAGCAGTAGTTTGATTTTAATGGTCGAGTCGGTAAAGCTCATGGTTGCTAAACCGAATAGTCTCGAGTTCGAAACCTCGGTAGATGAGGCTCGTTAGCTGGGGACAGCCTCTCTTCTAGGAGAGACAACTCCAAAAACAAACAATTGCTGCCTTGTAGTTTGTTCTTGGTTGGACAAAGGCTATGGAAGCAAATCCAAAAAGAAAAGCAGGCTGAAATCGAAGTCAATTGCGTATAACCAGTTGACACGTATACTTAATTGTGTTGGAGGGGATTCCTTCCAACCTTAAATTAAGTACGAAGAAGAAGAAGAGGTTTAATTTTAGAGTTTTCTGCACAAGATTGGTTGTTGTCATCAGTTAACGGGCCTCATCTGTCCGAGGTTCCGCTATCTGGACTTTAAAATTAAAAAAAAAAAAAATTACATTTTTTTTTCTGATTCGATTCATATAATTTTACCTCATTTTTTCTTATTTAAAGAAAAGTAACTTGAAATCGTGAAATTATATGAATATACACAACCAAAAATCATAATACATCTATTTTTAATTTATCAAACACGTCAACCATTTAAACGTTATATTATCTAGTCTAAAACAATCTGATTGTTATTAAAAAAAATGTTATCAAACTTAAATCAAGTTTAATTATATGTATAAATATTAGTCTACGTGAAGGATACAAGAAAAATGTGAACATTCCAAATACTTAAAGACAGTAGCTGAAAACAAAGCATCTCCACTTTTCATCAGAACCTCATATGTTCTTGAAGCTTCAACAGATTTGTCTTTTATCAAAACATCCCCCAGCCGTGATTCCACACCACCAGATCTGTGCCAAACACCAGCTGCTACATCACGATCTCCTGTTTGTTTTATTCTAAGATTTGCTTTATACAGGCCATCAACAGGGGCGGTAAACTCTCCAGTTTTAGGATCAAAATGGTTTCCTGCGTTACGTTCTACAGCACTGAATGCAAAAACTTTGAATCCTTGACACATTTTCCCGTCCCAGCGACCTTGTGAAGCAATAAAACCCAGTGTAGAGTATTTCACTTGTTGATTAGCTGCAAGAAATAAAATACAAAAGGGTATCTACACATTACCATATATAACTTATTCAAACAATGTACAATAAACCTAACTCTGAAACACTTGTTGGCTGTAATTAAACCTTTTTTGACATTAGTACTGCGACGAATCTAGCGACGCGGCTTTTAGACATACATTTATAAAAAACTTAGAGAAAATTTATATTGTCCGCGTAGATTGCTAAGTAAACAGTAAGAATTACATCTGTATAATGAATGCATGTAACCCAGACAAGACACATAATACACATTATGAACCAATCGTTTGTTTAGTATTTTGAGGTCAATAGAAGTGTAGGCTTAGCCCAAAACTGAAGAATACTAATTTTTGTTTATCACTCTCGCTCTTTTGACTAACATTGTTTTGACAACTGTTTTAGGTGGGTTGTTTCCCTTACTAAAGTAACAATACAAGTCTCCTACAGTAATGTCCATTACATATCTGACATGGGCCAATAGATAAAAATGTTCTTGCAATGAAATCAGTAAGAAACTACATCTAATGATTAATACGATAATAACATAGTTCTACATACAAACAATAAACCGGGAGTGATCTCCCCTAAACTTTCTCGAACATTCTTACATAAAAAAACAGGGGATGGGAACTCGGGATATAGGCATGATTTTTAATCCATTTTAAATACTTAAACTTTTTGAAATAGAATAAAATCACGTAGAAAAAAGATTTGCACACCAGTGAACTTCAAATAAAATGTGCATAATAGTGCGCAATATTATTAGTACTTTATAAATTTACATTAGTTTTTGAGAAATTTGACAGAAGGTAGAGAATTAGATCTTTTACTTACATGTGAAATTTCATTTATCTAACAGAAATAGTACTCAAGTTATAAGCTTTTGAAAAATTCAAAGTAGAAAAAGTACCACTTCCGGTTATCGGAAATCGCTAAAAAGTTGATAGGGAACTACGGTTTTGATAAAATACTTAAATATGAAATTCCATCAACCTAGCTGTAACGTTACTCAAGTTATCGTGTTTACAGACACACACACAGACACACACACAGACACACACAAAGACATACACACAGGCATACGGACATGCTTGCAAAATTATGTTATTCCGTATCAGTGAGGTGTAAAACGTCGAGATTTGCAAAAATCTCAATTTTTTTATGATTACAAGACTTTCTCTATACTTCGTATATACGAGAAAGTAAAAACTTAAAGCACATGTTCGTAAAATATATATCAAAATATGTGTTTTCTCGTAAACTAAAAACGATTGTAATAAGTTTAAATGAATATATTGCATATCTATGTTGAAAAGAAATTACGTACCGATTGATTGAAAATCATTTGACAACTTTAAAACTTCCTTTTCAAGAGTTTCAATCTAAAAATAGAAAAACAGCTACAGAAATACCTGTATTCATAGGCGTAGCGACCCTTCCCGGCGCCCGGGGACAAACTTTCAATTTGGTGCCCCCCTCGGGATCAACCTTTCAATGTTCGATTTGCAACCCCCCCCCCCCCTCAAACTTTCGATTTGCACCCCCCCTCTCGAACTTTCGATTTGCACCCCACCCCGTCATATATTTTTATGTATATATAAAGCTAAAATGCAGCTAAAATGAGTTTAATTTGTTTTTCCAACCCATTTTGGCGCCCCCTAAGGTCGGCGCCCGGGGACATATGTACCCCCCTGCCCCCCCTTCGCTACGCCTCTGCCTGTGTTACAAACTAATAACTTTAAACTAAAGAGAGCACGTCTAAATCCATAATATTTTTCTTTTTAATGTAGGTACTTCAAGACAATAAATATAGGAACTTCATGTTACAACACTAATAAATGGGGAAACTAAAGTTTTTTTTTTATTTATTACAAAAAAAATAAACACATTTTATTTGAAATTTAAAATTTTTGGTAACCTAGTAAAATAAAAAGATCAAGATACATTAAATGAAAACTTGTTTTTAATTACATTAAGTAAATAATTTTTCCAATAAATTTGAATATTAAAATTGTTTAGCTAAAAACATTTGAGGCTTATTTACCTTCTTTACTTCTCCTTCCCTAGTCTCAGAGTTTTGATTATATGTTTCAATCATTTTATCAATTGGCAACAATCTTTGTTGTAGAAGTTTACATACAACAACATGCTATTTAGAAGGAATGTTAAAGTATATGGTTAATAAATGTGTTAATATAATGTTTATATCAATAAAACCCACAAGTCCTAATATTATTGGCAGAAATTTTACAAAGAATAAATTGATGATGATCTGATTTAAAATACAAGCAAAGAGTGGCTATGGTAGTGTTTAGCCAACACAACTGTATATAACCAGCAGGCAGACCTAGACTTTGATGGACAGATGGTAGAGACCAACATACAATAGTACAGAGATCAGTAAACACAAACTTTAGTTTATGCTACAAATGTGTTATAGGTTATAAATAGGTTTAGACAATAAAAATAAGAATGCCTATATAGCCAGTAGTAGAACTCTAACTGAATGCATTTATCTAAATATTATTAAAAATGTACCTTAGACAATAATGTATCAAATGTTTTTGTTGTATCTTCTTGTATAGCAGATATTAAATCAGAATATCTTTTAATTTCTTCTGTTAAAGTATCTGTTTTCTCTGTGTAAACTCTCATCTCTTTATTTAGTGTCTGCATATTATTTTCATTTTCTTTCATATCTAGAGACAGTTTCTCCACTGTTTTGTCTGTGTCTGATTCTTTTGTTTTTAAACTTTCAATTTGTTGAGTCAGATCTTCTATTTTGTTATCTTGTTCTTTTAACTGTTTTTTTAAGTTTTTAAAATTCTGTTTTTGTTTCTTTGACAAGTTTTCAACTTTAATCCCCACATCACTTTGTTCTGTTACAAAGTTGTCTCTCCATTGGTTTATCTCTAATATGTTATTTTCAGTCTTTTGTGTTGTGTCTTGAAGGGATGATAAAGCTGTTTCAATATCTTTTAGTCTTCTTATTGTTTCGGTATCACCTTAAATATTGAGGATAAGGTGTGGTAAAAATTATAAAATTATATTTAGATGTTATAAAGATATAGATATATAGATATAGATATATATAAAGATATAAAGATATAGGATGTTGGAAGATCAATATGTCAGATCAGTTTAAATGAACAATATTAAAACACTATATAAGTGGTTTTGTAAAGAAATATGATATGTTTCATTGATTATAAAATAATGTAAAAACATAATACATTAATTTTTTTTTACATTTTAATAGAATGTTTATTTGCGGAAAGGTATATATTAAAAATTAAATATACAAATTCTGACCAGACATAGGCACTGTAGAAATATGTTGAGCATCTTCTGGGATAAAACTTTGACTCTCTGTTGTTGTTTTGTCTTCTGTCATCACAGTGGGAGGGTAGAGCTTGGTGGTTTCTGTCAACAACATAAACTATAATGTTATATATAAATTGAATGAAGAATATTTCATAAGCTAAAGCAATGTAACCTTGGAAACAGTTTTAGTGAATCAGTAAATTAATGAATATATATATATATATATATATATATATATATATATATATATATATATATATATATATAATTATATTTAAATAAGCACTTTTTAAATTTAGGCATCATTTCTCTTTTAAAATAACATTAAACATACCGATCACCATACCATTCATCATATTCAGATGTTCAAATATTACACTCTGTGCTGTAGCTACCATAACAAGAGCATCTTTCACTGTCACATTGGTGTCAGTAGTGTTGTCTATATATTCCATTGCTTTTTTTGTAACCTATAAAGTGAAGTTTATTTTATTCATATTTGAGCACAATAATTTAAAATCTTAATACACTTATTAATAAATAAATACATAATTCATAAAAAGCATTAGCAGCATGGCTTTAAAATAATCTAGATTGCTAGCTATTGCAGTTTTTCTAAGAACTGAATAATATTTTTAAATAAGAATAAAATTTAAAACTATTATTCACTTATAATTAATGTATAGTAATAGATTTTTGATTGGATAATACATTTCACTGTTAATCTTGCTTGAATAGAACATAATATTAAAAATACATGATACGTTCACTATGCATATGTATTTACCTGTTGTATAAAACTGCTGATGCTACTCTGTAGATCTAAGCTTGATTCATTCAATAACCCAAGCTGATTATTTAAATGTTTCTTTAATTTGTCAGACATCTGCAAATTTTTCTTTAAAAAGAAGGGTCTACAAAGTTTTAATATCTCAACCAAGATTAAAATCTATAAATTCAATTACATTTTTAACTTACTTTTAGTGTTAGAAGTAAATTTGTGTAAGATCTACTCAATTATATAAAATATTATGGGCTGATAATAAAGTGAAACTGAAACCTTCTAAAAAACTGGACATTACATCCTAAAATATATAATATATATATAACCAACATACACATATATTTTATGCTATCTATCATACCAGACATACAGTGTATGTCTCTACATATGATTATTACCTTTAAGATTATAATAACTAATATTTCAGGATCACTAAAGCTAAATGTGGAGTTTAGAGTTCCTTTAAGCTGCCCACAAATAATATCGGGAAAATCCAATAGTTAAAAAAAAAACTTAAGTCGGATTTTTGTATTGCAGCGAATTATTTTAAAAATACTAAAGATTTCTAATTAACAAAATAAAAGCAAAAATATGTTGTGAAGTACGAAATAATTAGATGCAGAGTGATTGTATTTATTCGAGGTCTATTTCTGTATTTTTTTTCACAATTAAAATTTTAAAGGTAACCACATAACTGGGTTGTTCTCGCATTATCTATATTCTCTATATCAGTGGTTCTTAAACTTTGTGGAAGTATTGAAACCCACCAGCTTCATAATCGCATTCATATAATCCTTCTTAATAGGAAAGATAAAATATAATTAGTTTCAAATTCAAAACATGGGTTTCTTAAATTAAAACGATTAAAGTCTATTTTGTAAGGAAAAACGACTTTTAATATTCATTCTTTTTATTTGTTTTACATATTATAGTTATTGTATTATTTATGACATTATTTAGAAAAAATATTTCATGTACTGACCACATTGTACTGACCACATTGCCACGCTGCGCATCATTATCGAACAGACCCTTGTGTGGCAATCCCCCTTATACATGACTTTTGTCGACTTTGAAAAGGCGTTTGACAGTGTGAATAGAGATACTATCTGGAAGTTAATGAGCCACTATGGAATACCCCAAAAAATTATATCTATCACACAGAAACTATATGAAGACTCCACCAGTCAGGTAATACACAAGGGAAAACTAACAAAACCATTCAAGGTGACGACGGGAGTAAGACAGGGATGTATGCTATCGCCAATGATATTCTTGATGGTAATCGACTGGATCATGCTAAGGGCCACAAAAAACGACACAGGAATCCAGATCTTGATTTTACCGATGACATCTGCCTACTATCTCACAAGCATCAACATACGCAAGCCAAACTAAATCGGCTATCTGAAGAAACCTCCAAAGTTGGACTAAAAATCAATAAAAATAAAACAGAGATCATCAGAATCAATAAAAGCCAGGACCTGCCGATACAGCTAAATGGAGAAGATTTACGTGAAACAAACACATTCACATGTCTTGGAAGAGGGCGCAGACGAGGACATAAAATGGGTTGTTCTCGCATTATCTATATTCTCTATATCAGTGGTTCTTAAACTTTGTGCAAATATTGAAACCCACCAGCTTCATAATCGCATTCGTATAATCCTTCTTAATAGGAAAAATAAGATATAATTAGTTTCAAATTCAAAACATGGGTTTCATAAATAGTGCATGCCATATAGGCTTAAATCACTGAGTCCAAATAACGAAACGATTAAAGTCTATTTTTTAAGGAAAAACGAATTTTAATATTCATTCTTTTTAATTGTTTTACATATTATAGTTATTGTATTATTTATAACATCCTTTACAAAAAAAATATTTAAAACAATTAAGTTTATTTATTCTTGTTGATTGTCTTGTAAGTAGCAATCCCCTTTAAAATAACATTTTATAGACGAAGCAGCAGTTTTTTAACGTTGTTAGTAAATGTTCGAAATATATTACACTTTCTGTACCAAATAATCAACTCAAAACAAAACACTATATAAGTTTTTCAATATTAACTGGGGGTAATTGTTTGAGAGCACAGAACTTGGCATATAGAAAGCATCCAAGGCGGCTGGGCACAGTATTGACCACACGATCCATGAACAGGTGAACTCTACTTCATCTGCAACGTGGCCCGTCAGATTCAAAACGAAACTTTACTTACTAACTAGTAAACTTAGTATAATAACATCTAAACAAGGACAAATTCGAGTCAGTTACTGTGAGTAAACAAAACACATTAATCATGACGTAGCCTATAAACAAGAGACATACCAGTGTGATTGCTTGTACTGTAACAACGTAGAGAATTTTAACGTTGTTTACTGAAACGTTAACATGAGACGCTGGGAGCTGTAGAGGATTAGATCAGTAAAATCTCTTACACTGGTCTAAGGGAGACAACAGTTAAAATATGTGCATTCTACAGTAGTGTTGGGTAGTATCCCCTGGTATATAAAGACAAGTATCGAACCCATATGCAGCATTCACCTAACGGACTTCTGTACCACTGTAAATTTGTACCTGATTTCCTAGTGTATTTTTTAATGTCGCGTTATGCGTACATCTTTGTTCTAAATTAATGTAAATAATCGTTCAATTCGTTTTATTTTGTATTTTGTTCTACGGAAGATTAGAATGTATAATGTTCCCGTCTCTTAACTTTGTGCTGCAAATTTTCATGACATTAGGCTTTTTCAATAGGCTTCTCTACATAGTTGTCGGTATACGGGAAACAATAAAGAAAATACAACACTAATAAAGAAAGTTTTAGTTCCATCCCCTTATTATTATAAAATGACCAAATAGTAGGATGTTTTGGTTGAACACGTCCTCTATTTTCAACCTCGAACAGGGTGTAAAGGGGCCATATATATTGTTATGTTGTTAAAATTATAAAACATATTTGTTTACTTTTTTTAGTTGCATTAAACTGATTGATACTAAAAGCAATGATTATTTTTTTTTAACATAAAAAATAACACAAAAAACAACAAACAAATAACTGGTGCGATGTTTCAAATTGATTAAGGAAAAACAGAGCGTTTTCAAATACTTCATTTTTCTAAAAAATTCATCAAACGGAATCTACACTAGTCCAACAGTACTGAAGATGAGAGCAAAAATACATAAGTGAAAGATTGAGATAAGACAAAATACAGCTCAAAATGTTTTTGTTGGTACACAAAAAGTTTAGTTTTATAAAAACGTAACTATTCTTTAAAAAAAAATAATTAAAAACTAAAATTAGATTTCAAAATTATTTTACTTATTATTGGTTTTTCTCGTATCTGAGAACACCGACTTATTAAAAGAATCTTTTGAGAGCAGACGCGTTGCATGAATTTTATTTTTATTTTACAACACGAGCCAATACTATTATGATAACGCGATCAAAGTCAATAAGAATGTCATTAGCACTTACGAAAATCTGAATTTCCTTTGTGAAGCACACCCTTATGGACGCTAGCGAATACATTAAATGTTGTGAAAGAGGAGCTCATTTTTAGAGAATACGAGAAAATATTTAAAGATATTACTTATTAGCTGTTTATATTTTATCCAGATAAAATTGACGACTTGCTTTTGTTTTGAAATGTTTTCTGTTTTTTGGTTTTTAATTTACATTTTTGATGAGGGAATTCAATAAAGACAACGTCAGTGAACTAGCTGTAAAGTATGCTAATCAACATCACACGGATATTTTTTTCTTTAAACGTAACCTTATTTATTGCACAGGTAGGTAAACTTTTTGTTGAAATAATACATAAAGGCAAAAGGTTTAAAATAACTTTTATATTGTTAATGGGCATTTTATGTTTTCGTTATAAAACATTAGCCTTTAGGAGAGAGAAAATAAGTCCAATCTCGCGTATATCTGTATGGAATATCTAAAACAATTCTCATGTACTATGGTGTTGCATATATATTAGGATTTTAGGCAATATTAAGTCTGTAATAAATAAAATAAAATGGAAATTAGACGTCAAGAAAAACACAAGAAAAATGCATACATTTACAATCATAATAGCCAGTGAATGAAAATAACACATCGCCAGCTTTCATATAAACCTCAACAGTTGTTGAAGCTTCAAAATATTTTTCTTTAGTATTGACATTACCGAGCCATGTCAGCACACCACCAGATTTGTGTAAAACCCAAGCTCCCACAACACGATCTCCTGATTGTTTTATTGTAAGACTTGCTTTATACAGGCCATCAATAGGGTCGGTAAACACTCCAGTGTTTGGATCAAAATGGTTTCCTACATTACGTTCTATAGCACTAAATGTAATAACATTGTATCCATCATATTTTTTTCCCGTCCCAGCTACCTTGTGAAGCAATAAACTCTGGTGCTGGATGTTTCACTTGTTGATTCGCTGCAAGGAATAAAATAAAAAAATAAAAATGTCTCTGTTCATTATAAACGGCGTCAAACAATTTAATTTTATTACAAGTAAACATATAAGCTTATAAATGTGGTGCCTCAATTGGCACTATCATTAATCGCTGCTTTAAACAGAATGTGCATGCACAATGAAATTTTAACAGTTCTAATAAAATAAATATCTTTAATAAACATGCAGGCTATCATTTCCAGGTCCAAATTAATTAATAAGAAATTCAATCTCTGAGTCTAACGAGAAAATATAATCCACCCAAATAATTTAATATTTTTTCTCTAGGGTTTAAGAGGAGATCACTTTGTAACATATAAATTCAGCTAAATCAAAATACTAACATTTTTAAATATTTTACGTTCAACTGACTTAAAAAAATAAATTTTAATGCTCTGGTCACGTTAACACATATTTATGTATAATGTTCCATTATCTTTAACACAGTATCAAACACTACTTAGACTAATAATTTATTCGCCTTTTGAAAGCAACAATGAAAAAAATTACTACATAGAATTTTATTTGGCAAACATGCACTCGTTGATAGAATAAATTAAATGTAAAGATATTAAATGACTCTTGATTAAAACAAAAGCAATAATGAAATAAATTACTAAATAGAATTTTATTTGAGAAACATGTATCTGAAGAAATTTTAAAATATGCTAAGACAATTAATAAATGTAAAGATATTAATAGACACTTGGTTAAAACATAGATTACATAATATAAGTTTACTTATGCTAGAATACACAAAATATTTTATTAATTTAATCTAAGTTTACCTTTTGTTTTACACCAGATGTATATGTCATTAAACACATTTGCTCTTATATATATAAATTACTTACCAATTTTCTGAAAATCCTGCGACAACTTTAAAACATCTTTTTCCTGAGTTTCAATCTAAAATAAAAAAAAAAGTTATGACATAGCTAATGAAGTCCTTAATAAAAGTCATCATTTGAGTTGTTTTCTAATGTTTACCTTAGGGCTTAATATAATAAATTT